AATAATTATCATATACTTCGATAAAGTAGTGAAACATCACTAATTCACTATAAATGTTTTCTTGTTTTGATAACCAGGACAAAATGAGGGAGATTCAATTGGGTGCTCATACGGTTAAATCCCATGGAGTTGCTGTAGCCAGGGTGCATATGCATGACTGGCTGATACTGTTGCTTCTTGTGGTGATAGAAGTTATTTTGAATGTGATACATCCATTTTACCGGTTCGTGGGGAAGGATATGATGACAGATTTGAAGTACCCAATGAAAAGCAACACTGTTCCAGTTTGGGCTGTTCCGGTAATTTGGAGTTTCTTGAATAATACTCTTTTATCACTAGTACCTAAGGCGGAGCATTGGTTCAGTTCTGTGATGAGCTTTGATAAGATTATGATGATGATTTTTTTCCCTCTTTTGAAAAACCAGATGTACGCAATGTTGCTGCCCATAGTCATTTTCCTGATATACTACTATTACAGGAGGGATGTATATGATTTGCACCATGCCATACTTGGTATGAAAATCACAAAGCAAAATTTTGATGTTATTGAATTTAGATATTTGTGTCTTGGACTGTAACTAGTTGAAGAAATGATGCATCATGATTGACCTGATTTTCTTTTTGTACATGCGAGTACAGGGCTCTTTTTTTCTGTACTAATAACGGGGGTAATAACTGATGCAATCAAGAATGCAGTTGGTCGACCAAGGCCAGACTTCTTTTGGCGTTGTTTCCCTGATGGAAAGGAGGTAATTCATGACTTTAAATTTCGTCTCATCAAACCATATTATTCAATGTTTGATGTTTGGAATTTAATTTTTCTGTGAGTTATTGTTCAGGCCTATGATCTAGTCACAGGAAATGTTATTTGTCATGGAGAACGTGGTGTCATTAGGGAAGGGCATAAGAGTTTTCCTAGTGGACATACTTCATGTAAGCAGCATCATGTCTTTGCTTCTTACTTTCTAATGAGGAATTTAATGGCTGATTCTCTTTTTTCCTAAAAAAAGAAAAAAAGGCTGATTCTCATTTTCCATTACTTCAGTATGACTTTGTTGCTTGTGCTGCTACCATGTATGATTTGTTTTGTGCAGTGTCAAATGTAACTTAGTTGCATAATATGCTACATTGAAGGGAAGTTGGGGAATTGTGTTCATGTTCCTTGAAGAGATTAAAAACAAAAATATTATAATAACAATTTAATCTAGGTTTAATCAATTAAATGGAAGGTTTTGAAATCTTCCAATATTGGATAGAAGTCCATTTAATAAGGAATTCACCAAATTTCAACTCTTGAGTAGTCTGCTGTTGAAACACTTTAAAGCCTGAGAATGTTCAGCCCACTCTGCCACGTCCTGTTTTATCACAGGCTTTTTAATGCTTCAAGAAAATTTGAGGATCGGTATTGTAATATGCTATTGCTTAGCAAAAACCAAAGTGGGCTGTATAAGGGCCAGTGACAAGGACATTCAACCTGTTTCAGTTGAACTGGGCAAGGTGTTCCTCTCCTAGACACTTTGCAAATTTTGATTTATATGAACGAAAAAAATTCACATCTCCAACTGATGTTATAAATTACTGTTTTACATGTAGCGTATATTCATAATATCTGCTAACTGTATCGATTGAATCATGATTATCAGATTGCAAGTATAACACGATGTGGGGCCAAGTGGGCTTGGATCCTACACAAGTGACACGTGAGATGGACATAGAAACAAAGAAATCAAAGAATTTGGGTACAATTAGGAATTCTAATTAAGTTAGGATGTAGGAGTTGTAAAGGGTTGTAGGTTTTTGCAGAAACTAGGACAGCAGGGTTTTGGCCCTTATGAAGGTTTCTTAGTTTAGATGGAATTGGATACTATGAGGTCTATTGAAGTAGACCTCGGATTGGGGTCACAAAGAGAAGGTTTTGGTGGGGTTAGGGCAAGGTTTAGGATAGATTTTATGGTTTCTAGAAGGGTTAAGGCGTGCTTGAACTTAGCTGGTCCAACAAAATAGGAGGATAATGGGATGGAATCTAGGCTTGAATCCACAGAAATCTAGGGTTTATACTTGAAGTTAGAAGGATACAATGAGTTAGGTACATGGTTAAGGTAGCTCTTGAGTTAATTTATGTAGGGTTTGGATAGGTTTGGCAAGGTTTTTTATGGAAGGGTTTGAATGGGCGACAAATTTGGTTGTGGGGAATCTTAGGATGGGGATGTGCCACAGAATAGGGAATTGGAAAAAGGGGCCAAGCAGACATGGGGAGAACCTCCAATTCACGAGTCAGGGTTTGGGGGAATATCTCCACCAAAAGAAGAAGAGACGCTCTAACCTTTGGGGAGACTCTCCAAACCTACGATGGAGTTGAAGGATCTTTAGAATCTCTCCTTTGAAAGTGACCTTTACTCTGTTTGAATATGAATTGGCCATACATTGATATTTATAGAGAATTCCAAGTTCTATTGGTCCTGTACTTGGACTCTAAAAGCATAAGAAAACAATCTCCTTTACATTCTAAGAAACTATCCAAATCAAAGGTTTCTAATCTAGCTAGAATTGGAACCTTGCTAGAAATCCATTAAATAAGCTTTAAGTAAAATAAAATAAAAACCCAATTATAATAAGGACGCAATAATGAAAAGAACTAAGACACTTGGGAAAATAGAATAATCATTGATTTTCCGGCATGCTTTAACAATGATTTGAAGCCTGAAATCTGAGTTACAAAAAACCCATTGAAATATGGGTCTTAGATCTTAAAGACATTCTCTATTTAAGATTTTGATCACCCCAAATGGACATCCGGATGAACGTTATGTTGCCTGAAGCATACTCGTCATAACAGGTACACTAGGACATGTTTGTTGTACTGCATGACCATGAACAGGTGAACTTTTGATGCTTAAATATTTACATTCAAATAAAAAGACTTCATGAAAGGCCTAGGGTTGTGAAGTTGGATGCATATAACTAAAGTTGTATTAACTCTGCCATTGAGTAGATAAACTGATACACTTAATTCCGATTTGCTTTTAACTCTGTATATTCAGTATATGTCTTGGTCATATTTTAGTATGAGATTCCCCAAAACATGACTGACATGTGATATTATAAAGTTGAATTGGATGGTGATTACAATACCTGCAAGGTCTTGAAAATTTTTTAAGTGCTTTAAGTCTATGATTATATGATAGATTCTGTGGACGAGTTCATGTTATTGAGAGGGCTTTGATCATTTTTTAGCATTTCTAGGGTTCTTGTCCAAGGAATTATTGTTAATTGTGTGAAACTTCCTTTTTTGTGCAACAGTCCTTTTTTGTCACTGTTGCACATTCCCTTGTACAGTTCACATGCTTTCTGTAACCATATTATTGATCATAATCTAGGGAGCCACTTTCATACAGATAAACAACAACCTTATGTCATATTAGCTATGACAGCTACTTCATTAAAGTAGGTTTCTATTACTTAATATACATGGAAAGAACAAATAATTGTGTGCAGAAAGGGATAAAACCAATGGAAAATGGCAAAACTCCATCATATTCCAAGTATTGAACTTTGAATTGGTACTTCTATTGAAACTGTAAGAGGATGTTCTCCAACCACCTACACACGGGAGAAATTTGTATCTCCTTATTTTGATTAGACAATTGGGTATAATATGTCATCCATCGAAATTAATAAGGAAAAAACTTGTTTGCACTTTGCACAAATACTCCTTGATGTTAGGATAAAACTAACTTATCGAGATAGTTATTATTGGCTAATGCATGGATGAATAAGTATGTCCAGTGGTGTTTAAATCGAAACAACAAATTATCTTTTTTTAATCTTTATAGTTCCAAGGAAGAATATGTAGCAGGCGATGGACTAAGTTTCAATCCATTGAAGGCATTTGCCACTAGGACATTTGGTTAAGTAGTCTCAATTCTTAGGATATGGCTTGACTAAAAATCTGCACATCTTTATTTCTAGGAACTTCTGGGGGTTGAAATGTTATGCGAAGTGAAAGTTCAAATATGTTTCTTCATCTGTTTTAGCAACAACAGAGAAGTCAATTATTAAGAAAAAAGCAACTATTTGGATGTTTTTGAGAATGGTCCAATGGATGTTTAACATTTTGCTGTGGGTAGTTGTGCACTATAGAATTATTGTGCATGATTAATGCAACTTGGTTTTGAATGCTTTGCAAGCTTTTGCTGCGGAAGAGGATCAGACAGGAGTGCCTTGCAGAGCATCTTTTTTGTGTAACTGATGATTTTTCCATTGCTGTGCTTGCTTTCTGATTGCTTTATTGGAATTTAACCTGTGCCAGTTTATGACTTTCACTGAGGATGACACAGTCTTCTCAAATATGTATTTAATAGCACAATCAGTGCTGGTTCTGCACCGGGTACAACAAGATGTATATCTTATTTGTAATTGACAAGGAAAAAACACAATAATGTTGCCATTGAATTTCGTGATCCATCATTAGACTGAAGATTTGAACACTCCATGAACAAATGTACTATTGAGGATCTTAGGCCACCCTCTTTATGTGCAGTCTTGGCATTTGTTCCATTTGCAATCTTGTGATTGATTCATGTGCTTCTTGCTCTATTCCTCTCCTTCTTGGTACATTTAATGGGTGTTTTGTCTGCCATAACCTTCTCTGGGCATAGGTGACTGGTAGTATAATGAATTAACTGGATTTGATATGAATATACAATTGAATGAATACAGGTACAACTGTCCATGAATCTTGAGCCTAAAATGTTTATGCCCAAATGGTTACCTAATAATTTATTTGTTTGATAATGTATGTTTTCAGAAGCCTTCTTCTTCTGCCATGTGGTTTGTCTATTGTGGTTGTTTAACTTTTGTTTGATCCCTTATTGCGATTATAGGATTATGAGCACTGCAATAATTATTGACCTGCCTGTAGATTAGCACAATGAAGTTGTATATTGTATGTCTACCATGTGATACCTGTGGATTAATTTGAGCATCTTATGGAAACATAGGAGACCATCATTCATATTTCTTTGCACACGATTTGATTTGTATACTGAATTAAATTCTTGATCTCATTGAAAAAATATCTCATTATCTCGTGATCTGTAATAAATTCTTTCTTCTTGCAGGGAGTTTCGCAGGCTTAGGTTTTCTGTCTTTGTACTTATCTGGAAAGATTAAAGTATTTGATCGTAGGGGCCATGTTGCAAAGCTTTGCATTGTCTTTCTTCCACTATTAGCTGCATGCCTTGTTGGAATCTCTCGAGTGGATGATTATTGGCATCATTGGCAAGATGTATTTGCTGGGGGTTTCATAGGTCTGTTTTGTAGGCTTGATTATTTATTGAAATCTTGTTTATTATAATCAGAAAAGTTTTAATGTGCATTGCATGCCGGTGCTGCTTGTCCCACATGATTTTCTTCTACAGGTCTCACAGTGGCTACATTTTGTTATCTTCAATTTTTCCCACCTCCATATCATACTGATGGTAAGTTTTAATCCTGCAATTTTTTGAATAGGTGAAATTTTTGGTTTCTATGCAATTCCTATAGATCTACATCTGGGACACATTTTGTTAAGTGTGTGTGTGCGCTGCTTTTATTTGAATATCTAGCAGTGAAATGGATACCAACATTACATGCCTTGAACTTCTGGACATCTTCCTTACTGGAGAGTGGTCCATCAAACATTCTTTCTATGGCAAGCTTACCTCAATTGTTGATAGACAATTGAGAACCAGTTGAATCTGAAAGTTAATTTGCTATATTACATTCTTGACGTGGGGATGGGCTGTGGTGCTATTTAGTGATTTTGCTTCTCTGAAAGCATTAAGCAGAGTGTTACATGCCTGTAATCCCTGCCAAAACAAAGTCAAAGACATGAATTAGATAGTCGTGCGCAATGAAAGCATATGCTCAGGAGCATCATTTGGTTGATAAGGTTTTTCACAGACATTTGCTTCACTTAAGAGATGCCATACCATGTGAATCTGGTATAAAAATATCTGCTTTGATGTGTGGTGTGGCAGACCAAACTGCCTTTTGGCTGTGCTATAGGACATGACAGCATTTTAACCTCAAATGAGAATTAGAGATTTGACTTCAGAGACTGCTGAGTGGTTTTGGTTCTCCATTTGTCTTTTTCTTTTTTCCTTTTTTCTTGTGAACTTGTGGTTGTATGCTTGTCCATCCATTGGTGAGTATCTAATAGTAGTTTGGATGTCGATATGTGGCAATAGGCCATTGCATTGACCAATGCTTATGATCCAATCTAATATATCTAACTACTCTAGAGTTCATGGTGGCGAGCTGCCCATTACTTAGTTTGTGTCATTTGATGCCTTTTATAAGTTGAAGGAACATACTTCACATTGGCCTAGTCCAAATCTATTTAATAATCTTCCCCCCTTGCACCATGGTCATTTTGACTTATATTCATGTCCGCTGCCCTCCAATTCGGCATTTCTGCCTTATTCTTAGCATTCCTTTGCAAGCATACCAAACTTTCACAATTGCAAGAGCACTGGCACCACAGCAAGTTCCAGAGGATATACCCTTTGGCAGAATCTATTGCCCTAGTTCTGAAATTGAGGGTACAGAAGAGCTCTAGGATATGAAGAGCTCTAGGATTCGAAGCCTAAGAGGCACAGTTAACTAGATATTAGGAAACTCAAGGACCACAAGATTGTCTTTCTTCATAATGGTGGTGGCAGTTTGCAAGTCAAAACTGTCACACGTGGTAGCAGGTTCTCCAGGGCAAGTCCTGGTTAGGGGAGTCAGATTGGTTTCCTATGGGTCTCCCAGTTTCTTGTGCATTAGGGGCCTTTATGGGTAGTAACGCATTTGTTCAAGGGGATTTTATCGACTGGACACAATTTGTGTTAAAAACTGGGGAGATGATCGGACTACCCTGGGATTTATGATTGTGGATTGCATTTCAGAAAGACAGCATCCCAAACCTCTTCTGGCTAGCCACTGACTAGATTGCCCTGGTGGATATGTTAGGGGGTGCTTGGGGGACATGTGGCGGGGTCACCATGTTTCAGGGGAAAACTTTGATATTCAGTGCTCCCAGCTGTGGAGGCACTCCTTAACCTCCTTAAGTAGTGGTTTGCCTCTTGGAGGGGCAGTGACAAATTAGTTTGGGCCCCCTCTGGTATCTTGAGTTTGAATCCAGCCAACTATGTACTGGTTGCATGGTCATAGCGTTTAAGGCATGGTGTACCCCAATCCCTCCAAAAATTTGGACATTCAATTGGCTGGTTATCTCTGAGAAGTCCCTGACATTAGACATGATTTAATGGAGAGGCATCCCACTTCCTATTTAATGTGGTATGTGTGAGCGGTTCCTCCATTGCTTGGATGTTTTCCAGATTTGGGTTTGCATCCCTGGCCTCTTTTAATGGGAGTGGATGTGGCTTGAGAATATCAAACGACTATTTTTGGGTTATTTTTCTTCACCATTCTCAGTCACCAGCCCGATTTTATGGCTTGCGACTCTGTTGGCCTCTATTTGTTCATTAGGATCGGAACACAGCTCATAGATCTTCGATATCAAAGCAAGACAGTTGGGGGCTTTAAAGGATAAAGCTCAAAAGTCATGGTTACTTTTTGGGCCAGAAATCATGAGGATTTCCTTGGGTAGTTGCCACTAGACTTTGCACAAAACGGGGGCCTCCTCTGAAAGTCTCGTCCAATGGAGATCTCTAGTTCCAATTCATGTTTGGTGTCATCAAGCTCCCAGGTCCAGTGGGCATTGGTGTGGTCTTTAGATCCAATGTACCCAAATGTTTACTCTTCCTTTCAGGATCCATTGGCATGGCAAACTCATCCAAGGCTGAAGCAGTGGCTCTATTTTAATTGTTCGATTGCAAAAGGGGATCCTCCCTTATAGTGGAAGGAGGTTCCATGGATGTTATTACATGGGGCTCAAGGGAGTCTCCCTCTGACTGGCACCTAGAACATCTGTTTGATCAAATTTTTGGGATTTGCAGCAATTTACAAGTTTCTTTAAGCAACTTTGGTGTAAGGCAAACTTGGTCATGGATGCAGTGGCAAAGGTAGGTGCAGCCAGTAACGGCTTTCATGTAGCCATGTCTCAGTCCCCAGCCGGACATTTTGTGTTAGTATATTAATACAATGTCAACTTTATCATTAAAAAAAAAATTGCTGTGTACTGATGCCCTTGCTTCTTGTGCTGCTTTTTATATTCATAGCCTGAAAGGGCATTCTCCATTTCCAAACATATCTATGCATATATGCAACTTTTTGACACACATTGCACACTTTTAGTGCTATTGTTGCTCCAAGTTGCTATTTACCCAAGATTGTGATTCTTCCTTTTCCTTCAATTTTCTTTTTATCCACAAGCTATTAATTCTGTGGGATTTTGTGTAATCAGATTATAGACCCAACTGAAATACATGAAATGCCAGTTTTGATTAATACCTTGTTATGCTCGACCTGTATTTCTGTATCTAGCATGGACTTTTTATGTTTGCATTCCTTTCTTTTTTCTTGGCAATTTCTAAGCACATTTATGAAAATTATTGTTTCTAGGATGGGGGCCATATGCGTACTTTCAGAGCGTGGTTGATTCACGCATCAATGCTCAAGAAACGACAAATTCAAATGCGCATAACATGCGTCCTCTGGAGGTTGAGACTGGGTATCAAGAACCTGAAGATACAGCATCAATATCATTTGGTACACATGATAGCAGGCCAATATTAAATGATGTGGAAACTGGTAGAAGATGATAGCAGGCTAATATTAAATGATGTGGAAGCTGGTAGAAGATGACACTACACCCACACTTAGAATGGGACAGTTTGTGAATATTGTTTCCTTTATGTTTGCTTGTTACTCTTTGATGACTTTGGCTTGGGTAGATGCGCTGAAGTTTTCCTTTAGGTTAATGATTAGTCAAATATAGGTGTTTTGAAGTGAGCCGGTGGGCATTAGATAGTCACCACAGCGTTCATCGTGGATTTGGTTCAGAGGAACCATGCATCTGTGTTCATAGAAAAGCTGTGGTTGCAAGTGTTATCACTGTCCAATGGATTGATCGATGGTGATGGAGAATGGGACACGGGGCATGGCATAAGCCTTAGTGGTAGGCTTCAGCTGTTGCCATCAATGTATAATTGTTGGCCCGTATAAACACTTGTAACCAACCACTTTTGTATAATCATGTTGATCATATGTACGCTTTTGAGATTGATGTCTTTGTCAGGTAAGAAAATTGTTTTTGATCAAAGTGTGGACCCAGTGTAAAAATTCTAACTAGAAATAGAAGAAACGTGAGGACCTCAAACCACTGTCCTCTTTCTTGGAGTACAGAATTGAAAGGTAGAAAAAAATGTAATAGGGAAAATATCGTATTGCCCCTTTAAAATCCTCGATAGCCTCGCCTAGTTTATTTTTTAAGGGGTCATTTGGATACTTGTAAATATATTGTTTGTGAAATATATTACTGGCGTAATACATTATGGTGTAATATATTACCTGCAAATGGATTGTTATTATTTGGGTAGTATTTAGATGCAATTTGGGAAATACATTGCTACTGTTTGGCTATGTCCGGAAGAAATATGGGAAATGTATTATCAGTATTTTACCAGTACTTGTTTATAAATTATTATTTCTTTTTTTTTTTTGGTCACAAAATTCTATTGAAATGCGGAATTAAAATCATCATCACACCATTCTAAAAGGATTTTCTAATAATAACATCATCACTATTTCAAAAATATTTTCTAACAGTAACTTGTACCATTCTAAAGTCATCATGATACAATTTTCTACTTATTTTGCATGCTTTTGGCACTTACATAGAATCACATGTTTTCTAACATGATTAGACTTTGGTTTGAGCATGATAAGTTATTGGAATAATATGATTGGAATAACATGATTTTATTGTGATAAGCTTTATTTTTATTTATTTTTTATAGAAGTCTTTTAAATGTATTTCTATATAATTTCAAATGCATAAGTTAAAAAATAAGAAGAAGTTTGATTAGTAAACTAGAAGGTTTTGCAGTAGAAAATTTTGAGGTATTGGAGGAGACTAAAGAGATATCTTATTTCAATTGAGTTTTTACTAATCTCTTACGACGATTATGATTTGTGAAATTTTTTATTATGATTGTGTTGTGTAATTTCTTATTGATTACCAATTATTATTTTTATTATGCAGGGGATGATAGAGCGATGTAGATGAGGGATGATGATGTAGATGCAGGAGATGATAGAGGGATGATGATGTAGGGGATGATATAGGGATGTAGATGAGGGATGTAGATGAGGGATGATGATGTAGGGGATGATATAGGGATGTAGATGAGGGATGTAGATGAGGGATGATGATGTAGGGGATGATATAGGGATGTAGATGAGGGATGATAGAGGGATGTAGGGAGAGCTGATGGCTTCATGAGCGCTACAACCCAAATTAGAGATGTAGGGGATGATAGAGGGACAAGAATGATTATTATTTTTGTTTTTATATGAGAGCTGATGACTTCATTAACGTTCAAATTAGAGATGTAGGGGATGCAGATGAGGGATGATTATTAGTTTTGTTTTTCTATGAGAGATGATGGCTTTATTAGCGCTCAAATTAGAGATGTGATGATAGAGGGATGTAGATGAGGGATGATGATGTAGGGGATGATATAGGGGTGTAGATGAGGGATATAGGGAGAGCTTATGGCTTCTTGAGTGCTACAATCCAAATTAGAGATGTAGGGGATCCAAATTAGAGATGCAGGGGATGTAGATGAGGGATGATAGAGGGGTGTAGGGGATGATAGATGGATGGAGATGAGAGATACAACTCAAATTGGGGATAGATGGACGTAGAAATGGATATATTTAGGAGATTGTAGAAATGGATGTACGTAGGAGATTGTAGAAATGAAAGAAATGAGAAATGGATGCAAAGACTTATAAATGGAGTTCAGAGAAAATGGAGTAAGCCAGCTAGTCTACACATACCATGTGTATGGATTACACTATTGCTTTAGGACTTTTCAAATATCAAGTTTTCATGACAAAAAATGAAGAAAGCTACTGTAAATTAAGAATTACAACCAACTTTAATAATAGAAATGATGTAGGAATTAAAAATATACGGAAAAAAATGAATACCTTGGACTCTTCAAATATCAAGTTTTTATGACAAAAAATGAAGAAAGCTACTGTAAATTAAGAATTACAACCAACTCTAATGATAGAAATGATGTAGGAATTAAAAATATATGAAGAAAAATTAATACTTTGGACTCTTCAAATATCAAGTTTTCATGACCAAAAATGAAGAAAGCTACTGTAAATTAAGAATTACAGCAAACTTTGATAATGGAAATTAGGTAGGAAAATGAGGTAGGAATTAAAAATATACGAAGAAAAATCAATACCTTAATGAAACAATAGTATGAGTTTGATCACATAAATGAGAGACTACTCCATGAAAGGGTTTCAAATGAAAGCTCAAGGAAGAAGATAGTCTCATGGGTGGCCACATTTTTGTCAAGGGCTCTCTCTCTCTTTAAAGTGAATACTCAAGTTAGGATTATAATTGATCTCATAAGTTACTTTTATACTTAGATCAGAAAGATGGATTTGATCTTGATCCTTGATGCCTTAGATCAATGGCACATGAGATGCTTTTATTCAAGCCACTCATCCATATCTTATCACTAAGATCAATGGATGAGTTTTTGACACCCTTCACTCTTTAAAATCTAGGTTATAGTCATTTTATCTTAAGCCCTTAGTTCCATGCTTTATTTCCCATTAAGTCCAAATTCATGTTTACACTTATGCTCATGATTTTTGAATAATTTGTGAGAGTCAATAAAATACAAGGACATGGACATAAGGTAATATGGGACATCCACACATATGAATAACATATCTTATGACACTACTAATAGGATTTTAACAACATTAAAGTTTCACACGGATCAAGCCCATAACATGGTGCCACATAAGATATACCCACATGTTACAAAATCGTGGATAATAATATGAATTAAATTAATTATCAAAATCTCATGACTTCACACATGCCAAAAATGACACATATGAGAAAAAAAAACATGTGACTTAAATCAAACATAAGTCATAACAATATATAACACTTTAAATAATAAGACAACATGTTATAACATAATACCAACAAAAAAATTAATGACAAATAGGTTCCCACATGGATATGACGTTAGCAAGATCATCCACAAGTGGGAAGGTGGGGGTGCCACGTGGCATCCCTATGGCCGCTTTGGAACCATGTGGCATCCGCACAGGATGTCTTTGTTTGGCATTTATGTCAAACATATTTGAAAATCATATTTTTTATTGTTTACAAAAATCTGAATTTTTTTTCAAAAATCCCAAAAATTCTCTAAATGATTTCTCAACATTATAACACAATTTCTCATCAATATAAAATCTTTTCTCATCAATTTTAAATTAATTTGAGTCAAAAGTAAATCAGATCTCTAGACTTATAACACAAGTCGGAATCTTCCATTGGGCTAACCCGAATGACATTCCATCGGCGTCTTAAGCCGACCCAATAGACCTATGCTCCACAGTCTATGGCAAGGACACATAATTGGTCACACTAAAGTTGTTGAGCCAGAACTTCCCGTTACCAGGGGTTCAATGGATTACTGGTGCACCCCTATGGGGATATGTTCCTACTCAAATACAGAGGTCCTCTCAAAGCACATGTGCACTAGCTCTTCTAAATCGAATAATATTATAGAAGAGTGGCTTCCCCATACGACTGTGGGTGCATATGTCATGGAACGGTATCGTGTCAGAATATGGGCTCATGTCCCATGAGCCGAACTTTTAAATACTCGTGTTCTATTATTCTCGATTAGATTCTCGAAGCCCTGGCTTATCACATCAACTATGATGCATTATAATCAATATAGTCCTGACTGGGAGGTGACCCTCACACCTCCCCGAGAGTTCACACTCCCAAAACGTATACTCTCAATGCCTCAAATAGTCAGGGTATATGAATTTGGGCCCCAGTGCTCCAAACACCCAGATTCAGTATCTCTCTAACTCCCACTGAGCGTAAGACTATTGGCTTTAAGGCCTTGAAATGCCACATAATCAATATTCTCCCACTTGGCTTTTGATGCCTTATAAACGATTCTCTCTCTCATTCTTATACATAATGAAATAATTTAAAACATCCATTCTCTATCATAAAAGCAATACTCATATCAAGCAATGGAGCAAGTATCAACAATCAAGTTACCTTTCTCAATCTCATATCATGCACAAGCGTAAACCATTGTCTGCTCCATAAGTGTAGTCAATCAACATAGTCCATTAACACAATCAATAGTCATGGACTAATAAAGACAAGGGTGGTCAAACATATGCAATCGCCATAGAGAAAGTTTGCCCGTAATAGATTTCATGTATTTCGTAGAAAAATCAAATCTCGTGTAATTTGTTTCCATTTTTTTACTTTTGAAATGTACCCAAACATGATAAATCTCATATTTTCTTGTAATATGTTTTTTTCTTATGGTTGAAATATACCCAAACATGATAAATCTCATATTTCTTATAATATGTTTATCTGTAATAGATTTACAAGTATCCAAACGGCCTCTAATAGTAATTTTTTTGTGCTCCCTCTTAGGTTATATCTATTTATTCTTTCTAATTACCCTGAAGTTTCCCTTAAGCCACACTTAAGCCACATAGGCCCTTGGTAATCCACCCCACCCTATGGTCTCTCTGTGAACCCTTCTTGGCCAGCCACCCTTAAGCACTCTCTCTTAGCCATTCTGCCCCTCATTTTATGTACAAGTGAATTAGATCATTACCCACGAGTGGGCTTGGGTGGAGAGGGCCCTTAACTACACAAATATGGATCTTCGTACCTACCGGAGAGCATCGGTGAGATGATGCTTGTGCTTTACGACATTTGAAGGATCATCATCATGTGGGTATTATCCCAACTACTTGAGGTCGGCTATTTCGTATCTCTTCGTACTGCTTCCATCTATGTGCTTTTGAAGCTCTAGCTATTGTTGTATTAGTTCTAAGGGGGTGGCAAAGGGTTAGGTATGGGTCGGGTCCAGGCCCGAAATAAACACTATGTACCCGGACTCAGAGCCGTACTCATACCCGACGGGTCCAAATTGAGTGTAACCGTACCGAACAGGTAATTTTGAACCTAGGACCTGGACCCGCACTCGTACTCGACACTAAATC